GTTTAAAGCAGCTTTTGCCCTAGGTGCACTTGCGCATAGTTTTTCAGGTAGCTTTGCAGGTAGGTTTCTTGAGGCATCTTGGAGACGTTGCCACAGTTCTTCAGGACTTTTGTTCTGTTTCTTCATGTCATTCCAGACAGACTGGATGATGATGAGATCAGATCTCTGTGTGGAGCACTGGCTGTTGTCAGACTACTTGTGCAAACAAAAATCTCACTGGATTATTACAATTAATGGCAAAATTAATGTTTGGAAATGTAAACTGATATTTCCTACTGACACACTACAGCAAAAGAGAGAAATAACTGACTTAAAACCATTTTTAGCTGGTGAAAATACTAGTGTTCTAATAATTTTGGACAACACAGTATATGGAGCACACAGGAGTCAGTAGAATATTGTGGATTACAATCAGGGCTGGAAATGTGGGGGGATGCGGGGGGACGGAGTCCGGGCAGTGAATTTCGAGGGGGGGTGGCATTTCATTTCCAACTGGTTAGGTTTATTTGGAAATTAAAGTGATTTCCATATATTATCCATTCAAAAGACTATCACAAAATAATATAACTTTTATGAATTTTTAAGCCTAAATACAAGCGCCAGAGCTAAAAAGCTAAACTTAGGCTATAAACGAACTACACCACCACGGTCACCAACGTCAACGTCACCACCACCACGCTCCTGACAACTTTTTAAAACTTATTTCTAACATGTTCAGTGAAAAGGATTTACTCATATGAATTTTAATCCACGCTACATGAACCTTTTCATATAAACTGGAATAAATACAAAACTAGAGCCAAACTAAAACTGAAATGAGACATTAATAAATAGTATAGTGAATAAATGAAATAATCATAACTAAAGGACATATGAAATCACGTATTTCTGTACATTTTGAAATAGGGTGAATTGGAAGTCAATAAGTCCTTGATTAATATGAATATTTTAATTAAAAACGTGTCTCCACATACTATTCAATAAAATTCTAGTCCATTTAATCTATTAAATAACGAGTGAGCAAGTTTTTGGATATGGTAAGATTAAACTTATTTTAGTGAATGAAGTTCCACATTTCAGCTATCATTTTGTTAGGGTGGGTACACAAAATGTTATTTTATTCTTTCTTCTAGAAAATCCTCAAACTATATGCTTTCTAACAGCTTCATGTGGCCGTAAACATTTAATTTTAACGTGGCTTTAAGCACAATGCATCGTTAAAGTTTCACTTTCACCGTAACTAAGCCGTTAGGTTTACATGGAATAATCGAATGAGTTTACCTTATGGTACGAACCCAGAGTCTCTGTATCAGAAAGCGATAAACGAGCATCTTCCATCCGAAGCATTTCGGGGCAAAACAAAAAAACATTGTCGGACAACAATATAAAATGTGGGAAACTATTAATTGATTATTCAACAATTAATTGTACAATAAATTATACTACAATTGGAAAATACTGTACATTGATAAACTGTTTGGCGTGATGGCGTTTAATGTCTCCGACAGCGCCTGTAGTCCCATTTAGCAACTTGTTAGCAATCGTCTTTTTTAAGAAATGAAACAGTTTTAAAAAATCACGAGTGGGGTGTAACTGGTGTTTTATGTCGTAGAATAAAATGTGAAAGTATCTTGAGCTTGTGTGAACCACAGATCTTATTTTAGGGGATTTAACCAAACTCCCATTCAAAAAATCCATTGACTCCGGAAGTGGAACCGGAAGTGCTAAAATCCTAACTCGCTTCCGGGTTTTTGCCTATAAAGTGACATCATAGTTCCACCACTCTATGGAAATGCCTCTCTATCAGAGCGCATGCTGCTCCTCACATCACAGATCGTGAAAGCAGACTGCAGTTTTTGTCATTCATTATAACAAACAAAGTATAGACACGATGTAAATAATAGATTCAGTGTGCAGTGTAGAGAGCTTCATTAATTAAAATGGAAGTTGGTGAGATTGCGATGAACTAAGTGACAGAATTTTAATGATTTTAAAGGGAGTTCGCAAATGTGAAATTGAATTTATACAACAGTTTTATTCATTTTTGATTTTATACAAAATTTAATATTAAGTGACTTACATTTTAGGAACACTGTTGTATGATTGTGCTCTATTTCATCAACTAAAATAATTCCAAACAAATCACAGATTAACTGCTGTGCATCTCCAATCAAAGACAGCGCTGTTTTGTTTATGAATGAATCTGCGTTTTTGAACAAATCTAGTCATAATCGAGTCATAAAGGGAGTCACTTACTTCGTTCCTAAATGAATCAGCCATTTGAACGAATCGATTGAATGAATGATTCAGTGACAAAGACAGTGACTTGCTGCCACCTACTGGTGGTTTCAGTTTCATTTTTAAAGTATAAATTGAGTCAGTTAAATGGTTTAATATTTCTATATTCAAAACTTTATATTAAAACATTAATTTAATAACATTGTTATTATGAAATGCATTCATGCAACCTAAGTCTTGTCAAAAAGTCTGTAATGCCACATTTGTGCTCTTCTGTGCCGTGCAAAGATAAATTGTTGATGCTGATTTCATAGTAACTTATTCTTCCTGATTGAATGTTATTATTTTAATTGAATTTATTGTGTAATTACAATTTTTGATAAAAGTTTATAAATCTAAATTTTTTGGCACAAAATATGGAATACATTTAATAAAGTTAGAGGCATTACAAAGATTAAAAAAAAAAAAACATTTAAGGAGTCAAATATCGCCTTATAATAGGAAGGTTAATTTCTGTCATTGATCAGAAGGTGTTCCTAATTTTTTTTTTTAAGTAGGAGCACAAGTGATCCTGAAAAGAAATGTAAGCATAGAGTCCTTAAGAATGTAATGTTACCTTTTAAAAACTAATTGCAAACGTTTATGCAAAGTGTAAACTATTAAATATAATCTACAAATCATGCAATACTGTACCACTAAATAAGAAGTGTTTTAAGGGCTTAGCTAAACAGGCCAATTAGAAACAATTACTAATCATTCTGATTTTTTTTTTATTAAATCATTCTTTCATTTCACTAATCAATCTTTTTTTTTTTTTATTAAACATAAAGGGGTCATTAATGATGCTTACATTATAACGTGCAAATTCACACACAACGTATCTTTAATTTGGCCAGAATTGCAGGTGCCTGTCTTAATAGCCAAGAAGGTTTAAAGAAAATATGAAATAAGTTTAATGTTATTATAGATTATAAAGGGTTTTATAATTAAATACATCTGAATGCTATGCAGGATATTTAAGACAATATAGGCTGATCAGACGGCAATGCTGACCTAAAATGCAAAATGTTTGCCCTCTCTCTCTTCACCGTTCCAACATCTCAGACTTCAAATACATAAAATATTACACTTTTTACACAGTTTTTGAAGTAATGAGTAAAGAAAATGCTTTTAAACACAAGGGGTCATTAATGATGCTTACATTATAACATGTGCAAATTCACACACAATGTATCTTTAATTTGGCCAGAATTGCAGGTGCCTGTCTTAATATCCAAGAAGGTTTAAAGAAAATATGAAATAAGTTTAATGTTATTATAGATTATAAAGGGTTTTATAATTAAATACATCTGAATGCTATGCAGGATATTTAAGACAATATAGGCTGATCTAGAATCAAAACACTTTCAAACAATATCTAGGGCATGTTGTAGTCCAGATTAAAATGTAAAAAAGTTTGAAAATAAATAACCTATTAAGTTTAAATATTTAGGTATTTGGCACTGTGATGAACAACATAACAAATACACAAATCTGAATGGCTAAATCATTTAAACGTCTTTCAGAAACAGAAAGCTGTTTTGTTTACGTGGTTTCCGGGGTAAAAGCTGCATTATGTTTAGCGCCATCTGCTTTCAGAGAGTGAATGTGCTCTCACGGGCGTTCCGCCATGCACTTCTCATCCGTTCTTGTTTACATCGAGTGCACACGCGTCTTTGACACAGCATATAGCGTGTTGTGCATTGTGACCAGTTGATGGGAAAAGTATTCTTAACATTCATTCAAAATTCTGAATAATTTGTTATAAATAATTATTCTCTGTATTTTGAAGTGACCACGATAACAATATTGTGCATATTCATTATCGTGATATATCGCATTACCGAATACCGGCACATGTCTAATTAAAACAATCAAAAACATCAAATTGTTGTTGTTTTATTAATATAACAGATTTAACACACCTTTAAACATTACAGAGAAACAGTGCTTTAATGGGAGCAACACTATGAACATGGATGCTGCATGTGGTTTTTCATGTGACACCATATTTGCATTAAAGCGATTTGTGTCAACACTTGAGAAATTGTACTGATAAATGGTGTTTTCAACAGCTAAACTGGTAAATATTTTGATGTGCTAAACCTTTTTTCCCCAAATAAATATATAAATAAAAATCCTTGGATGGAAACTTGGCTAATAGTGTTTTTAGGACGTAAAACAATTTGATCTATATTTTTTTTTTACAGAAGCTTTGTTTAGTTAGTTAAATAAAATGTAGCTCTATATTTATATAGCTAAAATATTTCAAACTCAAATCAATATTTTTTGTGCAATTATTTACTTCTGTGGAAAGTAGTTGTGTAATAAGCAGGATAATGTACATCCAGCTGGTTATCACCACAAAATAAACCCCTTCAGGGTGATATAAGACCTGATCACCCTGTAAGGTCTAACGTCACCCGAATACGCTATTAAAATTGATTAATCCACTACTCTCCACGCACCTGAAGCTATGATTTCCTCTGATTTAGATATCTGCACCCTACCCCCACCCAACTGTCACATTGCAATTATTGTAATTTTCAGTGTTAAGCTCGATGACATGGCAGGCCCACGAAGAAGGGGGTGTTTTGGGGCTCGAGCCCCTACCTTTTTCAAAATTAAAAGAGCCCCTCTCAACAATTGTCAACAATAATGTTGTGGTCAATAAAACAAAATGTATATGAATTACAATTAATATGCAATAGAATTATTCTTACCTCCTGTGTTCCAAGCGTCACCACAATTGCTGCTCTCCGTGTTACTCTCAGTCAGACTCAGCAAGGCCTTTGCTACCCTTAGAACCACTTCATTCACAAAATCCCTCGGAAGGGCTGTGCAGTTCCTAATGGTCTCTGTCTTTTCTCTTGGTTGGAAGCCATTCACCCAGTCATTCGCAGGGGTTGAAATATTCTGTCCATTGTCATTTGGTCTATAATGGCCACTTTGATTGACATTCATACTGACCCCTGAGTTTGTGAATAAAGCCTCACGTCTCCTGATATAATCACTTCGCCGCTTCTCTACCAGGGCCTCTTCAGCCTCTCTGTATTTCCTTCCTTTGCCTATTATGCATACCTGCAAAAGAGATAGACACAGCAGAATGAGGCTCTCTACAGAGTTTCTGAATAGCGTGGCAAGTTTTAACCTTGTTTTCACCTTAATTCATAAGCTGCATGAATTCATAAGACTGAATCATGAGTCACTGAATCATTCATTCAGCAAATTCATTCAAAAGGCTGATTCATTCAGGAAGGAAGCATTTGACTGTCTTAAAACGACAGTTCACCCAAAAAATAAAATTTGCTGTCAAATCATTGTTTATATGTAAGAAGCTGAGCTGATGGAGACTAGTTTATTCACATTATAAATGCTTTTGGCATTTAAACCATTCATGTTTCATATCATTATTGGGTGCTTTAATAATATAATTGCATATACAGTTTGTCATTGTGTGATTAAGTAAACAAACTAGTGAATTTAACCAGTTCATAGAAAAGAACTGTCCAAAAGAACCAGTTTGCAGAAAAGAATCAGGTTTCCCTGTTTGCCTGAGGCTGTGGATTACAGGTAATAATGTATCCATATGCTTTTCGATCATTTTCATATGTTCCGGAACATTTCACCATTTCTTTGTTCCATTTCCTGCAGGCCGATTGTTTTGCTTCAAGGCCTCAATATACTGTCATTTCATACTTACTCATTTTGTGAACCTTGATAGGTTTTTTTAATTCTCAAAAATAGGCAGCCGCTGAATTCCATTTTATGAATCACCAAGGACCACAGTTTTAGCTAAAAATCTTCTTAACTGTTCTATTGAAAAAAAAAGTCACTGACATCTTGAGCGCTGTATGCATTTTAATAGACTAAATCATGTTGTGAAAGCGTGCACTCTAAATGTGCACCAAGGTTATTATAGTTTTGAATTTTTTTTATTTTAATATGGTTTTCAAATTTGCTATAAAATGTAGTTTAGTTTTTATTAGTTTCATTAATATTTTTGTTAGTTTTAGTTTAGTTTTTATTTTGTGAACACATTTTTATTTCGTTTTTATATAGTTTAGTTTCAGTTTTAGTTTTAATTAAAGGTTAGCAAAATTAACAGATCACTTCCAGAGCACAGGCCAAAGAAAGACTTTGGCATAATTTAACCTTAGTGAGGCAAACTAGCGACACAAAATTAATGCATGCTGAGATTGATTAGTATGGAGGACCGAGATGTGCCACTTAAAAATAAAATGAAGAATCAATTTATTGTTTTAATAATTTGTAGGATATCAGACCGAATCAGACGATCTATGCTCTCTCGCGCTCTTCCTTCTTGCCTTTTGAGCCTTGTTGTTTTTCTTTAAATCATGCTTCTTTAGTTTTGAGCGTGCTCTGGCTTACACGCCATCTCCTCCAAAACCATGAGGAGAAACGCCACCTGGTCTCATCAAAACTTTACATCTATTCCTTTACTTTAGTTTATTTTATTTTCCGTTGAGAGCTTTGTGTTTCGAGTTAAGTTTGCCTAACGCCGCATCTCCGAAAGAGTGCCGTCTAAACTTCAACTGCAGACCACAGCTCCGCGTCGCCAGCCAACGCCCAATCACTGGCTTCCCAAGACTGAACCTCCAGCCAATCAGAAAAGCGGGAAACCCCTTTCGGCAACCAGTTGTTCTGTGTGAGAAAGGCAGAGACTTGGTTGAACACAGCTCGTTCAAGTGTTTTTGCAATGAAAGGAAGAAGGGAAACCTTAGTTCTCTAAAAGAGATGGGTTAAGGGTGGGTTTCTTAAGTAGTGGGGTTATACAAGCCTGTCTAAATGTTGAGGGAAAAACACCAGTGTGAAGGGATATGTTAATGATGTGAGTGAGTGCAGGTACAACTACAGGAGAAATGGCTTGAAGGAGATGAGATGGAATAGGATCAAGCGGACAAGTAGTAGGATGATTAGAAAGGATGAGTTTGGAGACTTCAGCCTCAGAGAGTGAAGAAAAGGATGTGAAAGAGTGTATGTTTGCTGGTAAGATGTGCTTGAAAGATTGTGGTGTGGAAAATTGTGCACTGATGTTTTTAATTTTATTAATGAAAAACGTGGCAAAGTCGTCAGCTATTAGAGTTGATGCAAGAGGGGGAGGACAAAGGAGCGAGGAAAATGTTTTTAAGAGCATGCGAGAGTTCAACGAATTGTTAATTTTGTTATGGTAGTATGTCATTTTAGCAGTGGAGACATTAGCAGAGAATAGAAGCAATGGTTGAAAGTTAATACACCTTAATGATGGACATGCAGTTTTTCACGGAGGAAGTGATCCGAGGTGTGCAGTGGAGTAACTAGTACATTGATCAGTGGAGCAGTGTCGTGTGTAAATAAGGTCCAGTTGGTTGACTGATTTGTGATTAGCAGTAGTTGACACTCGGTTGAGATCAAAAGAGGCAAGCAGAGTGTGGAAGTCTGCAGCCTGAGGTTTATCTATAAACCTAAATATAACATATTTAAAGATGTTTATTTAATTTGTGTTTTTAAATGTAGTTTAATAAAACACAAAATAATGTTCTTTTTAGCAACATCATATGACCCCTTTAAAAAAGAATTTTTAAATGTATAAATAAATAGAAAAATGTAAAACTGTTTATTTAATTCATGTTTTAAAACGTGGATTAATAAAACAATAAAAAGTACATTCATATGCACTTAGTGAAAAGATTGAATGACAATTCCACCAACTGGGTTAAAACGTCCGATGTGTTTTAAATAAAATGACTTTTAACATTAAATAGAACATTTAAATATAACACATTGGCAAACTGTAAAGCTTGTATTACTATTGTTTTTACTTTAGCCCTGCAAACATTAATTTGAATGAATTATTGAACTTCGTTTTGTACTGTGAGGTAAATTTGCAGACAGTCCCTAAAGCAGCCTAGACGGTTATGCTGCGAATCCAACCCTCTCCATTTACTTTGTATTGCGAGAAGCGGCCTCCTTGTCGTTTCTGACTTATAACAGAAAAACAGAACAATGCCTAAAAGCTGCTGTGTGACAAGGTGTACAGCAAACAAGCTAAAAAAAAACAGAACTAAGTTCAGGAGTGCAGGATCATCAGCTCCACAACAAAAATAAAACTGTCAAGAGTCTTTTGCTATGCCTTTGATTACGCACAGGCGAGTTCCCTCTAGCGAAAGAGATGATCAGTTCACGTGCGCTGCCGCTTCGCTTGATCTGAGGTTGATACAGCGATCTATCATGTCACATTAAAGAGCGTCAAAACGGTATTTATTGCTTGAATTTCCTAATAAAATGTACAGCATTTTAAATCGGAGACTGTTTCATATAAAAAGTAACAAAGTACAAAGCTTAGCCCATTGCGATTTATTGGATGGGAGGCGCACACAGTATGTAATGTTCATTCATCAACTGAAAACAGAATCGATTGGGATTTAAGAATCAATATCGGTTCATAAATTTGAGAATCTATTAAAATCAAGATATCATTTTTTTTTTTTTTACCCAGCCCTAGCATATTTTGTTGTTTTAGTGGCCTCCGCTGTCACTGCGGTGTGTGGTGTTGATCATGAAAAGTGACGCACAGTCTCTGTTCATCTGTTCTCTTCATAAATAAATAAATGCATAAGCCTATATGCTCATCCTGTAGGTTCATTATTAAAAATGAAAATGTGAACAAAAATAAAAGCAATTAAATGTGTTATTATAATTAAAATATGAAAATTAAAATGACAGTTAATAATAGATTATAACAGATTTTTTATGACCCTGTCTGTCAAAATGATGGACAATGTTAAAGTCTAACACAACCTCTGGTCCTATGTATACTTCAAAAGCAAGCTAAACTCCCCCTCATCAACGTTACAGACACGGAATGTCCTTTTGGCATACTTTAATAAGGGTAAAGTAAAACTATGAAATAAGAAGAAAACAAACCATATGAATTGACATTCACAATGTGTACATAAAATAAATACTTACAAATATCTTGAAATCTAGATCTAACACTTCTGCTCATCAAATGACACAAAAATAAATTGTCAGGCAAATGAAAACGTTAAATATATCAATGGCTCTCATATGGTCCAATGAGAAAATACGTCTAAGATGCACTCAAATAATTCAAATTACAAATACTTCAAAATAATCACATACAATTGAAGGAACTATGAACAATAACAATAAATAGTGCTGTCAAATGATTAATCGCGATTAATCGCATCCAAAATAAAAGTTTTTGTTCACATAATATATGTGTGTGTGCTGTATAGATTTATTATGTATATATAAATACACACACATGCATGTATATATTTAAGAAAAATGTTACGTTTATATTAGGGCTGGGCAAGTTAACGTGTTATCGCGTTAACGCATTAATTAATTAACGCTAACAATTATTTTATGGCGCATTAACGCTGTTTTTATTATTATTATAATTTTGAAAGCCCGTTGCTCACTGGCTCTGAATTCACATACAGACAAACCATGGGTCACAGGAGGGGTGGGACGTTGATCAGTACTGGCTTGGGATGGGTGTCATGTCATCAGGAAACACGGTGTTAGCTTTCACTGTTATGCTGATGATACTCAGCTCTATATTTCTTTGCGGCCCGGCGAAACTCTGGCCATTTGATAATGCCTAGAATATCAAAATCAACTGTGGGCGGCAGATCCTTTTCCCATTTAACGCCCAAACTCTGGAATAACCTACCTAACATTGTTCGGTAGATTGTCAGTTTAAATCTAGATTAAAGACCCATCACTTTAACCTGGCTTACACATAACACACTAACACATTTCTAATATTCAAATCCGTTAAAGTTCTGGGTTTTTCGTTAATTTTTAGGCTGCATTAAATAGGACAACCGGAACCGGGAACACTTCCCATAACACCCGATGTACTTGCTACATCGTTAGAAGAATGGCATCTACGCTAATATTAGTCTGTTTCTTTCTTATTCCGAGGTCACCGTAGCCACCAGATCCAGTCTGTATCCAGATCAGATGGTCACTGCTCGGGCACGGTTAAGATTGCCTAGTGTGAGAACACCCTATTCTCCCAGATCCCGCACACATGAGTCTCTATC